CCAGTTCAGCATGTGTACTTGTGCAAATGGGGTAAATGGAACAACAGTTGTGGTCAGAACTTTTGCCAAACACAGAACAAGTGCGCAGCTCTTGCTGAACGCGGGTGTATCCAGTGCATGGCATGTTCTATTCATTTTCAAAAGCCTCCCAGGAACCTTGCATCTGTGCCGTTGTAGTATGTTTGCAATGAAATTGCAAATTTTCATGCAATGATTGCTAGGAGGAAGTTGCCTTATTGGAGGAGATTCCAACAAAACCATTCCTGGCATAGAGGTGAGGACTGCATGTTTCCATGTTACGCTCTGGTTTCCGGCAAAAATGCTTATTTGTGATGCAAAAGCAGAAGCATGGTTTACAGCATTTCTGATCGGCAGAGATAGGTCCAGACTTGGTCTTTACGTGCATGTATCCATTTTTGCGTTTACGTTTCTACGCATAGAAACGCGTGAATAGAGAAAGGGCCATTTCTGCGGCCATACTGATGCCTATTTACGGCTCACATGCACACCCAGATTACACGGTGATCTCCCAATCAATGATCCGTCCTCCACTCTCTCCAGCACTAGCAACACAACACACACCACTTCCCGGTGTGCCTAGGGAACTAACGTTCCATATCAAGTGATGGTTTTGCGCATACACCAGCGCGCCTTTATGCCACTCCTCACACTTCCCGACTTAGTATGTACTGTTTTTAAGTACACAGGGCCAATTTGCACCCATTTTAAGGCTGCTGGCGCCTAAAAAGGTAAGAAAAACATTTTTCGCGCAAATAGATGCAAATAATGATAGTGTTTACGCTATAAAACCAAGCCTGGATATATCCAAACTTGCATATTTTAGCCTGCAATACGAAAATACAGAAGCAATGTCAAGATTAATAACTGCTGTTTGAGCTCCTTGCGCTCTCAACATATGTACATCCAGAGCCGCATTTCGCTGTTTTAAACCTTGCCAATCGTAGCGATGGTTGTGTTGGTTTGTGATGCTCTGCATCCATTCTTGGTCAGCATATGGCACATGCCTTAGTCTCCTCCTCGGATCGCCTTCTCCAGGATTTGTTTCCGTCGATCAAGTGTCAGAAATTTAAGCTCCTGTAAGCTGTAGAGCTTTTGCCCATTGTCATTTCTTATCAAAATCTGTTGTTGTTTGACATGTGCTGCTCAGGAACTTGACGCCCATGTGACCTGCAGGGTGCCTTAGAGCGGTGCCAATAAAACGTCCCTTATGAGTGACGCGAGTTCCATTTGTGTTGGTTCAGGTTTTTCAATATGACGGTTTTGGTGTCTGGACACAGGATGGTTGGATGGACGTATGGCCGCGCTGCTTCCCATACGTGCTGAGCATCAGATTCAATGCGGGAGGAGATCACATCTGCACGGGTTTCCTCTTCGCAGAGGGGTTGGCTCTCACTGCCGCCCACTGCTTTATGGGGGATTTCTCAGAAAATCCCGTAGTCATCTTCGGGGGAGACCAGGTGCGAATTGCGCGGTGCTATGCTTCAAAATATCTGTTTCGGTGCCTGATGTCCGTTGAAGCTGAGCCCAGCTCCGAGGACCCGTTGCGACGAAAGTGGGAGATGGGGAAGCAGTTGTACAGTGCCCATATGCGGTGGCAACAGAATGCCATGCCTCGGGTCTGGGAGAAATCCACACAAAAACCGATCTACTTTTAGACGCACATATTTGTTCGTTCTTATGTACAACAATGCAAGCAAATTGATGTCCATAATTAAATCGTACGTGAGCGTGAGTATGTGAAAGTGTATGCGGGTGCTGCTGATACTAGTGCTTTAGTTTTACCACGTGTTGCTGAGACTCCCACCGTCTCAAAAAGATTGACTCTGCTGAATTTGCGCACCAAGATTCGATGTCGATTTCAGTCGTGCAGCTCTGAGATTCGCCCAAGCGAATCTCTGAGATTTTAGGGCACGCTTTCCAAACTCAATACCAATCAAGCAGATAGCACCCATGCAGCAGTGATTCAGATCCAGTGTTCTGCCCTTTTTTGGAATTATACTCAAGGTATTACCCCGCGAAGGCCAAAAAAGCAGTGCCGACTGCCAGATTGCCTTGCGAGGATCGTGCGCAGCGAATATTTAGATTTCTGCTTTACCGACCTCCTTCAACCCCCCCGTGTTCCGCACATGGCAAAGCATTACACTAACAAATGTACCGGTGACCATCACCTCACTAATACAAGACCAAATTGGCCACCCCATTGCAATGCTCCTTCGCTGCACATACTGCTTAACGCAACGCTGATGTACCATCAGTGGTGGCGACTCAACCCTGGGTTAGCTCCACCTTTCTCTTACTCAACTTCCTCTCCGTCACGCAGCCAACAGAGCCTCACCATATTAAGGTGGGCCGCGTAGGTGCGAAATTCTTTGACGCACGCGACGGTACCTAGGTTGGTTTGAAAACGTTGGAAACCTTGTAGAAAGGGCGGATCCCAGGCAGGTCGGACAGGGCTCCGCGGACAGGGCTCCGCGTTACTTGGCATCCAGAGCAATAGTAGCGCATTCTTTAGAAATCACATATAAGATAAGAAACATAGCGTGCCGATGAGATGCACGGAAATTTTATGTAAATGTTCATTCTGCGCACTGTGCTCTTATCGCTTAGGCCAATTAATCTGGCAATCCCATTTGCAGCACTCGTTTGAGTGCCTTGCCATGTAAATTGTGATGGCCGTCATCGCCATGGCATAGGTGGGCGTCTTATAGCATTGCACATGCTTGGGAGCAAAGCAAAGCCATTTTTGGTTTTCGCTCAGTTTCTCCTTCTTGGACCCACTTGCTGACCTTCTCTATGTAAAGTACTTTCCAATTGGTAGGGATTTAGGTGTGCAAGGCCTCTCGCTAGTTCGGCTAAGCATCCATTCTTTGCGGGCACCCAATCCATCCGAAAATCAAGCCCCTTGCAGTATAATCTTTCAAGGGCATCTGTCCATTCATGCCAATCCAAAATTTCGTTTTGGATGCGGCCAATAACTCCCAACGCACCTCCCATGAATGAAGAATGTAGCTCACTAGCACGCTCCCCGCGCCCTTAGTCATGACGGTCGGAAGGTCCTCCGAATTCCAAGTGAAGGGGCGGGGTACTATCGCAGCTCGATCTCGCTCGACAACAAGCCAGGCGCGTTCTTGGAGAGGTGACCAAAGGCCGCGGTCCACTTCGACCCTGCGCTTGATGTTTTGGTGCAGGGCGAATGCCCACCTGGGTGAGGGGATTGCGGCCAGGCCGTGCGCCTCCAACCAAATGCTTAACGGTCGGCCAGTGCACCACAATATCCACCGCCAAGTGTGCGGGAACGCCATCCTCGCCCATGGAGATGTAAGTCCACATGGTGGATGCGCTGTTCCCATTGACTTAACATGTCCAACGAGGCGTGCATTCTCCAGCGTCTGCACCCATATCTTATTCTCTACGGAAAGCAGCCGTTTCAATGGATGCACGGGGCTGGGTGCAGCATCCTTGTTTTCTGCCGCCGTTTGAAGGGCCTTTGGGTCCTGGTTGCTGTGCCACACTCCGCCTGCTCGGGTTGCCCCGGCAGAGCTTACGCACAAGCATAAACGCCCGGGGACCTTGAGGCCCAGTCACAGTACATTGGGAACTGTGAGATGCACAGGCGATTGTAGATAATCACAGTACATAAAATTGCAAGAACTGTACGCCAAGCAACTGCGCCATTCTTTTTCCTACATCTCACCCTTTCAATACAGTAGCCATTCTCAATTACGCCTGACCGTCCCAACTTGCATTCAGTGGACACCAAACGACCGGAAAAGGAGGTGTCCCTTGTCGCTCACATGGCCCTCCGTAATTCTAACGTTTTGCTGCCATAATCCAAGCACTACTCATTGTGTCAGCGTGACGGGGACTTTACAGCATATTCCTCGCTTCCTGTCAGCTCCCTAAAACAGTGTAAATATAGAATTGCACACTGATCCAGTTTTCTGGTTTTGTCCAAGTGCCCACGGCAACAACCCTTGAAAAGCGTAGGTCCAACGGCCACTCACCAAATGCCTCCCTAATTTCCGTCCGCTGGCTACGGGAGCACGGTATTATCGATGCAAATAGCCATGTATCATGGCCACAATGATGGCCTGACGGCAGCCGCCACCAGAAGCCAATAACGACATTCAAAGCACGCTAAATCAAAGCCAATTACTGTATTGCTACCACGCAGAATAGAGGAGCATACCGGAACCTGCCAAGATGGCTGTGGCCGCTCACATTGGATTCCAATCTTCCAAAAAATCACCCAGCTGCCCAAACTGATTAGGTTAATAGTTCCTGCAAATTTGGCCAGGGTCTTGACAGCGTTTTGCTCATCTGGTAATGCTGATTTCACAGCAAACTATGAGGAAATTTCTGCAGTGACTTGCAGCCATACCTAATGCATTTCCAGATATTCTCAGTAGCATTTATCTTACAATTCTGCCTTTTCGGTAATGGCTTTTTTAAATCTGTCAATATAATCGTATATCCACTTCACCTTGGTGTATTTCCGGCATCGTGACCAAACTGGTCAGGGTTTTTGCAGCGTTTCTGAGCACTGTCTTCATATTCCTTTGGATTAATTACTAGTTTTGTGTATTCAATCTTTTGCTGCTTCGAAAGGACGCCTGGGCAGCACCAGCCTGTCATGCGCACATTAAAGGCGCGTCCTCTTTGTCGCTTTCTGGCAATGCCTAGTGGCTATACATGTCAATCCTGAATGGCATACGGGTGCTGACACCGATTCAGTCACCATATGTCAGTCACGATTGAGTCATTGAGTGACATGGCACAATGGCTGACAGCAAATTTAACATTACCTACCCGGTAAATTCCATCGGAGGCTGGGCAATGCTAGACTGTGCTGATTTGATTATCTTTCCCCTCGCCTTATTCACTTTTCAGCTGACACCTGGTCCCCCTGGAGTGACCAGGTGTCACGTGGTCACAAATTAGTGTCTTTGTGCGCATTACTTGTCCTGGTGTCCACAGCGATGGTGCGAGTCCACGGGCTTTGCTCGCTGGCTTTGCACCCCATTCGCGGGATCGACTTTTAACTACCGGATTGCATTTGCTGCGCTCGCGGGCACAAACCTGAGTTGGATTTGAGAACATTGCTGTGCGGCCCCCACGCCCCTGTGAAACGGCTTGGAACCAGGACCATGCACATCAAGATTCTAGTGAAAATGCCTTGCAGGAAGTAAGGTTGGATTGGATGCCAAGAATTCATCCCAACTGGACAGGAGACTTCGACGACGACCATGACGTGGCGGTCATCGTCCTGCCAGAAGAATTTCATGGCGTCTACTCTTCCGAGGCCTTTCCCAACGGCATACCAGTGCCTCGCCTCGCCGATCCCATCCTTGACATCTACCCCAATGTGGGCGTCATTGTGCTGTGGGTGACCGAAACTGGCCTCAGGGCGGCCAAATTTGTGGTCGTGGACAGAAAGTACTGCTCCGAGCCATCCTCTGAGTCAAAGGATCGAGACGTGGGCGGAAATTTGCTCTGCATCCAATCAGACAGCGCCGACGTGTTTGAAGGCCTTTCTGGGGGTCCTGTCCTCATTTATGGTGACAGAACCGTGTCTGGCGCCACGGAGAGATTGGCAAATCTGGATTTGGCGGTGGGCGTTGTGTCGTTCCATGACCAAAAGTGGGCCAAGGGGCGCATGGCGGTCAGCTTTGTTGGGGCTTCCCGTCTGTGGATCAAGGAAGTCGAGCGAGAAGTTCGCCTGGTGAGTGCAATGGTTTCAGCTGCGTCGGTACTCTATGTTGAGAAGTTTGCAGTGGTGAAAATACGACCAACAGCAAAACATTTCTCTGAATATCAAGGTAACCTAGGAAATGAATGCGAATAGGAAATCAACATTCCAAAAAAGGGATTTCGCCCAAATTTTCATCATGAAAAACATCAGTCAAGTTGCAAATCAGGAGTATCCAACCTGATCCCCAGCACCATAATTTTGCCTCCCCTTTCCCTTTAATTGAGTGAGCAATCGCCCAAACATCAGATATTTCACAGCCAATAGACGTATGGACCCACGCATTCGCCTCAGTCAAGTCTATGGACTCCGAAGTGCACACGAGCATACCTTCGATATCCGCCCGTTCGTTTGTCAGATTGCAACAAGCAGCGCCGCCATTGCACGGTTCCGTACAAAATCTCAGGTAATTCCCCCTAAAGCTGCCAGAACACGTTCATATGTCACTACGAGCATCGATGTCGAAAATGCGTTTGCGGCTGCCTGCCCTGATTCGCCGAATCATGCCAAGATGTGTGTGCAAAACACCGCGCCATGGTGGGAGGAGCGCCTCTGTGCGGCCTAACATACTGGTTGTCTTCAGCGCAGTTTGTTCTCTTAGTCATCGATTTGCAGAGCCCTCGTTCCGAAAGGTGGCACTGACATAAGGCACGCGCTTGTTTCCATTCATCTCATAGGCGTATGCGTAAAACGTACGCAATGAACAACTGTGAACATCACATCCTCGATTGGCAATGTATTTGTGGACGCCCTTCTCTTTTTCGTTGATTTTGCAGTTACGCCTCGCGACTGATCAGTGCCTGTACTCTGCATCAGGATCGACTACGAGTCAGCGAACGGAATTGGGACAGATGGGTTGTTGCCCCCATATTATCTCTCCTGGCCATCTATGTCGCAGCAGCGCCCCGGCAGTTGCGAAACCAGGTGAGCGTGGGATTGCCGTGCAGCGCAGCAATGCTGCTTGAAGAAACAGTGTCGGGTCGAAATTCAATGACCTTTGCCTCTCAGGCAGCGAAACCTCACTTCAGTCAACTGGCAACTCCTGCTGGGCAACAAGCACTGCATTATTGCATCATTGATCAAAGCACTCACAGCTTTGGAATTGCGGTCGCTGTTAGAATTCTACTGCCAATGTTGCAAATGGAATTGTTACACCCTTTGGAGAATGAACTGAAAATATCTCTGCAACTGTTGTTGAAATTGTCCATATTGTGTGTTTGTTGCGCACAGTATTGTCGTTTGAGAAACAAACCCAAACAGAAATCTGGAACCGGCTGTGTGAACGTTTTGTATCAAGATACGGCTGTTTCGTGGATTCGACTAAAGCATTAAAATCATTTCTAACTCCTGTCTCATTTTATTGATCCAGATATTTCAGATTGCGTTAAATATCGTGCCAAGAGCAAGAATCACGGAATGGGCTTCCGGTGTGCTAGCGGTGATCTTATGGAGTGTGGCGGTGAGAGTTTGTATGAACAAAAGCTCGTCACTAAAAGCATTTCTTGTGTTCAATGGACTCGAGATCTCCTCTTCCGAGCAAAGCTCTGAGCGATCAGGCCCGGACCTTTTACTTATTGCATGATTGCGACTGAACTCTTCCCATGTCGCGATAATGCAGGATATTTTTCAGACTATTTTTTGTGCACTGTATCTACAGACTCATATTTGGAACAATTATGTGTTTGGTAATTTCAAGCACGAGGCCTCCCGGCAGTCGGCATGTGAGCATTGACTACCACTTGTCGAAACCCCAGTTTGCGCTGAGAACATCACGTGCATGCATCCACATCTCATCATATAATGGGCATATCCACTGATGGAGTTAAACAGACAAATGTCGTCAGGGATTCCTAATATGTAGCAGGTACTTGTTACATTTCTTGAAAGGCAAACTACAGCACATCAAATCCCTTCAGTCGTTGGTGGCCAAAACCACGGAGATCGGATATGCACAAAGCGCATGGCAGTGCTTTGGAGCCGCAACTCTCCGTTCTAAAATTGAAACCTGCTCACCGAACGCTGAGATGCCTCACATATGGGGAGCTCCCACAGGCAGGTCAATCCACCAAGTGGCCTGTCTTTTCATCCTTAATGTATTGCTTGTTTCTTTCCTTTGCTGGAAGGCGATCTTGTGAAGTTTTCCGTTCCTTTTCGAACTGCGTAAGCAAGGAATGGGGCCACTTGCAGTTGTTCGTTATCCAAAATTTTGACAGCATTCAGTACAGGTACTCATATGTAGCAGTCGTAACAAAGTTTGAAAACAAAATAGGCAACTGGTGAAGTAGCTGCCTCTAAAAAAATTGGCACATTCGACCGAACCTTTTAGGTGACCAACATGAATCATTTAATCGGGAGGAGGAAGTAGTTTTGTATATATATATATACTAGTATACCACACTCTTTTCTGCCCCGCGTAAGACAATTCGCAAATCCCCGAGCTAGACAGAGAATGATTCGCAGCACTCCCGAGCAATAGGAACATTCTCATGTCGCTGTATGTTATTTCCTGAGCATATGCTCCCTTGCCAGTACTGGAACAGCAGAACCAGAATTGGATGCGGTGGTGCGATCCTATGTGCTAAAAGCGCTGTTTCTCGAGATTTTTTGCAAGCTGAATTGCACACGATTGACTGGATTGACGACTCCATAGCCATGATCTGTCGTTGATTAATATTTTGTTGTGCTACCCAGATTACCCAACTTGGGCTGAGCATCATGTCGACGGCAGCAATCGCGGTGTTGACCTCGGTCACCTTGATGGCGGTCTTGTTCCGTTGCGGGGTGAGTTCAGTTACTCCCAGGAGCGAGCATAGATACATAAAGGTTGCTAAATATTATCCGACATTCTGATTTTTCGTTATATTTTTTCCCCCTCTACTTATTAAAGTCTCAATTACTTAGCGTACTTCAGTGGTGCAGATTGCAATGCATGCATGTAAACAATGCATGTGAAAGTGTATACACATTATTGCACTCGGTTGCTGATTCACCGGTCGTCGTTTATTTTGCGCATTGCACAGCGGAGTAGTATCAGTCCATTGCATCGAAGGGCAAAAAATGCCCTTTTCGCCTCCTGACGCCGGTTGCAAGGAAGTCTCTGGAAATACCAGTAGGCAATGCTGGGCTCCCTGGATTCCACCCGTTTCTGGCGATATCAGAATTTACCGGCGTTGAGAATGTATAACCTCTCCCTCTTGGCGCCAGCTTGACGCGACGCGTGGCAGAATCGCATTAGCTCGCCTGAAGGATGTTTCAACCCACACAGCACCTACCACCATTGAACCAGATTCCAACACTGTTGGTGAGAGTATTACATGAGATAATATTTTTTCAACGATTCGTTTCACTGCTTTTCTTTCAACAGGTGCTATTACCCTAGAGATAGCACAGATAGCAGTAGAGCATCCGATGCGTGGTCTGAAATGTTCTCGTTTTGTTCCTCAGCTCCTATCAGATAGATGCTACATTCTGCTCGGCCTCTCATGTCGAAACGAGCCCACATAATGGCGCTGGCTTTGGACGCCCCGTCTTCATTGCCAGCGAAATATCCTCATGGCATTTCCGGGTCCAGATCGGTGAATTCCCCAGATCAAAGGAGATCAAGGAGGCATAGTCGTCCGTGGTGAATGCCGGGGAATTAAGGGTGCCAGGCACATCCTGGATCCGCAACCACTGGAGAGCTCCAGATGACACACGCGCGGATTCAAATGAGCTTGTCTCGCCGCCACGGCTGCTGGAAGTTACGCCACAGGACGCAACGGCGAAAGGCAAGCAGCGGGCCACACAGCGCGTTTTCTGAGGACGGCTTGACCCGCACGAGCCCCGTGGTTGACAAAGATCTTCGCGCTTCATTTGATGCACACGATGCTGTGGATGCCCACAACGCCGACATGCCGGAGAAATCCACGGATCAGCCTCTCCCCCTCCCCCCAAGCGGCAAAGTCGGCAATGCTCTGATACTACAGCAATTCAGTGATGTGGTGCTTCCCTCGTTCGATGCTCTGGAACGTGGCTGTTCAGCATGCTGGAAGCACCATCAATTGCACATGGGCCCGGCACTGGGCTCGGGCTGCGTCGCTGTGTGCATGGGCTCGAGTGCCACATCTGCAGACACGGCACATTCCAGTGCGCTACGATACGATACGGCGCTCGCTACGAGCTGTGTAATGCCATTCCGGGATTGGGCAATCGTCGCCTGGCGGCAGCGGGAGTCGTTAACTTCCATTGCCTGGTCCTGCGAACCATCCTAGATGTGTCGACTTCGGCACTTTCCTGCCTGATGCATTTTCGACCAGGAGCTTCGGCAAGGCATCGGCTGTCTGAATTTCCAGACACCTGATTTGTTAGATTCTTTCCAAAAATGAATCTTATTCCTCTTGAGTTGCCCTGATATGATGGGTTATTTCTTCAGTTTCTCCGGTGTTCGGCAAGTTTTCTACGTGTAGTTTTAGCCATTCGACCCTGGGATTCTCTCAGATGGAGCCCTGCCCTTTGGATTGCTTTTTCGTTGGCCGCATTCCTTCCAGGTTGCACATCATCATTTGGCCCAATGGCAGTGCTCCCATCCATGGAATGTCTCTGGGGCTTTCAGGACCCTTGCGACGAGGTATAGATCATTTCGACACCGCTTTCCTCCATCACGCCATAGATTAGTCATATTCAGCCACTGACCAGTCAGCAGTTAGTCACTGTTTATATTCGCCTTGATGGCACGCTCGCCCTCGCTGGCAGCTACGAGAGTTCACTTTGTTTTCCTTGCTAGCTTCTTGCCTGCTCTTACATCTGGGGACATCTGAGCAACTCACCTTCTTTCTTCTTTTCATTCATTATTTCTTGTCTTTCTATTCTTATTTTTCTTGTCTTTTATTAACCTGCTTTCCTCTCTTGTCTTTCTGCTTGTTCTTGTCCTTTCTTCCATCTTTTTCACAAGGGCTATCTGAAGCACTTGCCTGGCAGCGATCCAGCAGCTCAGAGCACGGGAGCAGAAACTAATGCCGCATCACATCCGCGCGCGCACAAGCAGTGATTATCTTTAACAAAAATGCGAATTTCAATTGCTGGGGAGCAGGACAGTATTACGTCGCACATCGCATCAACATACATCCCATCAAATTATACTGTACCCAATAGAGGACCGTCGTATTGGAATACGTCTTTCTGACACGTCTCATTGTGGCCAAATCACACTGGGAATCGTCGCTTTGGAGCATGTTTTCCTCGCCCCACCGTAGTGCTTAGTTAATATGTCCTGCAATGATGTGCTGACTACTCATTGACATATTCGTTCATGTGCTTGCTAGTTTAGTCACTTCTCCACTCGCCAACGTATTGCATAATCTAGAGAAACAGCAATAACATCATTTAATAACCCACAGATGATGAACGGATTGGCTTTCTTCTGACTCTATTCCCGAACCTGAAAATTTTGACGCGACCTTTGGCCATCACCTCTCGGCGTCCCCCTTTGAGGCCCCCCCCAGTCACGCACTCCGAAATAGAAATAAAATAGATAGCGCTGCCCCTCTAATGCCAGATGCTATGGAAACACCAGCAAACCAAATCCTGGGGTTGAAAGGAGCCATCTACTCGCAGAGCACTACGTTGTTCAGTTTGCTCAATACATTTTAAACAGCACTTGTAACAGAATATCGGAGCCTCCAAGCTGCTGCTGGCGGGCCCATGAGCACCATTTGTGATCCACTTTGTAGTCAGGTCAGACAGCGCCAATCAGGGTAATCATGGCCTTTAATGTGACTGGTGCTCTTGACTCCCAATCAGTGAGTAGTGCATCAGAATGGAAGTGCCACGATGCACCAGGAATACCTGTAGCGCACTCCGAATGCATGTGCTTGGCTATGGAGGCTGAGTCCATACCTGGAAACGGGGGCCATCAATCCAACGCCACCACAGGGATTGTTCTGCAGTGAGCGGCCACACCCATATCTTGGAGCTCAATTTGAGTATCTTTTGCCATCTTCATGCATTGCAGGTGGCTTGCAAGCAGACAAGCTGGCTGGTTGTGGGACAGAAAAATATCATTGGATATTTGCAAGCCCGTCTCACCCACAAGTGTGCAGCAGCTCTGCTTTGTATTTCCAAAGCGCATTCAACCAAGGAGACTATGCAGACCATGCAAGAGACGCATCCTTGCATCACAAATGCCTGGAGTGCTCACACAATTGCTTAGCGTTCAATGAATTTGTTTTAAAGGTACACCATTCACAGCAAGCACAGGGCACCAAACCACAATGCACCAAATCCTGCACCCATTTTCCCCTGTGGGTGCATTGTCCTCAATTCGCACACACACCTGTGGTGGGAGAACAAATGCTGGGATGATGCTGCACTTCGTGCATGTCATCATAGACGGTCAACAGTGGTCAACGATCGTGCAAGGAAAAGCTGAGCATCTGTCGTCATGCCACAATCGCACACTTGGCCACAGAATCGTGGTGACTAACATGATTTTTTTTCAAGGGAGTGAACTTATCGAGACATTTACTTTCTGACAATGGTCCCAAAAGGGGACCCTTCATGCTCTGCAGACGCCGCTCCATCTTTTAGTGTCGCAAAGAGACTCACATGCTTTTGCTCTGGAGGGGGTGCCCTTTGCATATTCTGTTGCTTTTTCTTACCAGTTCTAGCCCTTGTGGGACTTCTGATGCGGAGGTCAAACATCCCTTGGTCAATGGTCGACGGCCGCACCGCGGTCAACCTGCGCCCATGCATGAAAAGGGCGCATGACTGCCGGACCTTGTGGCTGCATTCTGCTAGAGGGAGCCTCCAGTACTTTCCAAGAGCGGACTCTCCAAGGGCTGTGTACTCCACAGAGACGCGTGCCTGCGCTCAGAGCCACGGGGAGAACGAACGTTGGGACGCTGTGCTGCGGGCATGCCATCAAACGCCGGCACCGCTGGGCGCCCCTTGACGGCGGCCAACGGATGCCCAGATGGAAAACTGACGCTTCTCGCAGGGCGTTCCTCACCGCGAGGACGCCAATCAACTAAGTCGCGGCATGGCGAGGCCCAGGATTTCTGGGCGGAAGCGGTGATCCCCCCACTTAACCCCCCCCCCACACACACACACACATAATCTTTTCACAGCATGGGAAAGAGCATCGCACACACTGGAGGGGACTTTTGATGCGTTGGTCAAACACCCCTGGGTCATGAATCAGCGCCAGCACCGTGGTCAGCCTGAGTTCTTCCATGGAAGGGCGCACGACTGCCGGTTCTTGCTGCCAATTTTTGGGCCGGGGACATCCAGCAATTGTGGCAAATTGTCCAAAGCTATATCGTTGACAGGGACAAACTTGCCTGGGCTCAGAGCTAGGCAGAGAAGAAAGTCAGGACGCCGTGCTGTGCGCATGCCGTCAAACGCAGGCACCCCGGGGTCGCCCAACTGCGGCCAACGGCAGCCAACGATGGTCAACGGGGGCCCGGTGGAAAATTGAGCTGTCTCTTCCACCACAAAATCGCGGCCAGTGAGGCCCAGCACATCTGGGAGGACGTAGCAATCACCAGAACACCGCTCCACCCCCACCCCCATCCCAACCCCACTCCACCAATCCCCACCCATTATCTTATTCCAAACCTCACAGAATTTCGTGAATGCCTCACAACGAGCATTTTTGCTTTCGCAATGAGCATCTAGTAAGTCGAATGCCCAGCAGATGCGCCAAGGGTTTGCAGCACAGACGATCGGCGCCAGTTGTGATCAAGCGGGTGCCGCATAGCTGCGGGGCATTGGTGGGGGTACCTGGCGCCGCGAGCCTCGAGGGTTGACCAGGTAAACGCCGCCGACGCTTGAAGAGGAGCGCCCAGGGCGGGCCGGCAGAAAATGGCATTAGGGGCGGGCCCCGAACAGATGAGCAACATTAGGGCGACGTAAATGATGCCAGATTGGCAGAAGCCGCATCGAAGCACGAGAAAGCGCTGGGCGAGGAGGTGCAACGGCCACTGCGACTGTGCATAATGGCATCTGGTACCGCTGGGGCCCCCTTGACGGCGCCCAATGGATGCCCAGGTGGAAAACTGAGCGCCTCTCCCCTGGCGTTCCTCACCGTGGGGAATCCCATCAACAAGTCGCGGCACGCTGAGGTCCAGCTCTTCTGGGCAGAAGCAATTATCCCCCCCACTCCCCATTCAACTCCCCTTCCACCCCCCACCCCACATATTCTTTTCAGAGCACGTGAAAGAGTCTCGCATACACCTGCCCAGGACGGGGTGCCCTTTGCATGACCTGTTTCACTTTCTCTTTGCAACAAATGTTGCCCCAGCCCTGCCCCACACGCAAACCGGGTGCTCCTTTCTGTGCAGTGGCTTCTCGGGAGTTTTTCAGCTCATTTCGACACGCACACGCACGCCCCCCGCCCCATTCTCAAACCCTGCCCTGCCATGCTCGGTGCGACAACCACTGCGCCCAGTTCTGAACCACACCTGTTTAATTCCCCTATTCTGTTCAGTGCATTTCAACGGCCTCATCGCAGCGGATCGTCCATGCACGGTTCCGAGCGCGGATTGTTTCTCGCGAAGCAAACCGCAAGTAACTCGGACACCCAGAGGATGGGCCACGCGTCCAGAACCTGCCAGAAAATTTCGACAAAGGGCCATCGACGCCCATTATGGCGAAGCGGCTGCCGTATCGCCTGGAGAGTAGTGGGCAGTGCGGCTGAAGCCGTGTGCTTCGAAGTTTGACCCGGCCTTGACCTGGTCAACGCCCCCAGCGGTGGCGGGGAGGGACTGGTCGCAAAGGCAGGAAGAAAAAATGGCGTCGAGAAATGATGAGCGTTAATGGAACGTTCATGATGCCAGATTGGCAGAAGCCGCGTCGAAGGAGAGAGCGGTGGGAGGGGGTGCGAGGCCCTGGCGCCCCGTGCGTGGCTGGGACAATGGCCAGGACTTGCGGCACGGTGCTTCCGGGGTTGAGTGGAGCGCCGGTTCAAGATCAAAGATACCAGCGCTCCGTTACTAAGGCTGGCGTAGTATTGCGTGTTGTTGTTCTAAATTCACATTGCTGTACATTACTGTCGATTTTACGCACATCACAGCAATACTTTCAAATGCGCATGTTTCAAGACGAGCTCCAGCGAAAATCTGGAATCCCATTCAATGCAGTGAGTCAATGGTTGCGACCTGCGACCCGGGGTTGCACGCAATGACACCCAGGAAGCCGAGCACAATGTACTGTGAGATATTCAACCCTTCTGCACCAGAATATTTTACAGTTACGCTTTTTGCTCCGCATTCTG